TTCCATGCAAAATGCATGGGTCAACATGCATAGTATATGCTAGGATACGGGTGAATCGCTTGCTTCAGGGGTGGAAGTGTCCAAAATCACCGAAAATACGTTTTGTTAATATTTGAACGGCCATTTGCTTGCCATAAGTGGTCATTTAAAGAAAAGATCAATGCTTCCAAAATATTTATGTACTAGTACATATCAAACTAAAAAAAAAGTTCATTATTTTTTAAATAAAGATTTTTAACTATCCAGCATTTTCAGCATTAAATATGTAATACATTTTAAAATGCTTGCACTTAAAAAAAATCATAATTGTTTAATAAAATTTGCAAAAATATTTTAAAGCATAAATTAAAAAAATTACGAAAATAAATTTTAAATTTATTACTTAAATGTTAAACTTAAAAACAAGTGAAACTTGAAAACTTGATTACAAATCAACATTCTTTCGCCATTTACGATACTTTCTAATTACTTTAACTTCGAACAGTATACTTTCGGTGTCAGAGATAACGACATTTATTATAAATTTCACTTACCAAGTATTAAAAGAATCAATTTTTAGAATCGTAAAAATAATTTACTAAACTGTTACATTTAAACCTCTTTATTAATTTTTTTTTGTTTAATTTTTAAATTGAAAATTAGTTTCTTTTTGTTAAACATTTTTGTTCAATTTGAAAACAAATATTTATTTGTAACCATTATCATTATAAATTTTGTAAGATAAATACTTATTAATTTTCACATTATTTGGGTAAAGTGAAATTGATTTTGAGCTTATTATTATTAAATGTATTTATTTATTTTCATTGTTATTTTAATTCATTCAATTAAAAAAAGTAGCGTCATTTTAAAGGTAAAAGGTGAACAACATTATAATTCGATGAGCAAAAACAAAAACAAGATCAACAAAAACAAGATTTAATAAAGAATATTTAAGTAAGAAATAAATAAAAAACATCAGCGAAAAATAATTATATTTAGCAAGTCATAGGCCGAAAGACATTTAAACTTAAAAAATAAAATTAAAAAAATCTTTTCAATTTTGAAATAAACTTTCCAGAAATTATATTATCACAACAGGCATGTTAAAGTTGTTTACATAATTATGTGTTTTTTTCAGAATGCATATTTATGTTTATGTGTTGTTCAGTGAATATAGTTTTGTACGGACAAAGAGAAAATAATAATAAAAAAATTAAAAAAAAGGTCAATCCCCGGGCAAAAGCAATGAAGCTTACAAACAACTCGCAGGTCGTACTTTCTTTGACCTTGAACCCGAATTCGAAAACAAATTTGTTTTTCGAAATCATTGATGGTTTTCGTAGCTTTTCTTGATTCTCATGGATGGAAATAAAGAATGCTTTTTCCATGCTTCGAATGAAAGTTGTTGAAAAGCAGAGAATAATCGAAAATACTAAGAAGGGGCTCTTTTTTTCTCCTCCCCTACCCTCCGCCCTTCACACTTCCCGAGCAGCGGCAGGACGTAGATGGAATGTCCGTGGGCGGCGGACGCCCACGTCCCCTAACTGTGACCGCATTCTGAAAACAAAGAAGCATTTTCGTCCTACCTCTCTTTGAGTTTCCACTACTCGCGCCCCGGTCGCCCTTCGCATTACATTCGAATGAACAAAAGTTTAACAAAGTGACGATAAAGATTCTAATTCTTTCTTAAAATAACTATTGATCAGAAATGTTCGTCGGAACGGAACATCAATATCACTTAAAAAGTGTTTTACTTTCTTTACACAAGACATTAGGCTTTCTTTTTTTTTCTTCCTATTATATACTTCGAAGAGGCATTTAAAATTGATTTACTTGGGAATGACGTCGGAACTGCAACAGAGTGCCGATTTAAGTCCTACAACAAACCATAGGCGCCATAGTTTGGGGAGGGGGACCTAGAGAATAGGATCCCCTGTATATAGAAATCAGTACTAGTCCCCGTAAATAATTCCATAAAAAGAATAAAATCTTCGTGAAAATCTTCAGTTCTCTCTAGAAATGAAATAATTTATCTTTTTGCTGATATTAAGCACATTTAAGAATATTTTTTTTTATCTTATCAGTAAAGAACTATTTTGACTGTGTCATTTAATTTCGACCCCCTCAAAAATTGAACCCCTGCGACGCCTATGCATCAAGCATAAATCCAGTAAACGAGAAATAAAATTCGACGAGAAATTCGACGAGAAATAAGCATTATAGCATATGCAGAAGAAGAAATTTAACCGGTATAGACATAAAAAAAATTCGAATTTGTTCACACAATTTTAAAAATGACTTCAATTTGTTCACATAATTTAAATGACAGACTTAAAAAAAAAATGAATAAATTTCAGCTTTGACAAATGCACATTGAATCATAAAATCTGTTTAAATAAATTCACACATGAATATGTAAACGAACAACACATTATGTTATTACCAAACATGCATTTAACTGCAGCATTAAAAAACTTATGAAATCCAATAAATACACATTATATGAAGCTAATGATATCATCAAAATACTTCGCCTTTGATCTTTTAAAAATTAAATCTAAAAGTTTTCTTAAAGGTTTTTAAATATCATGCTTTCATAAGTTTGCTTTTCTTTATCTTTTCAATTCATATATTTTACATAAAAAAATCAAATGCTTTTTCGAAATTGAAAATTGTTATGGCATAGAAAGAACTAAAATATATAATAATTAAATTTAGAACACAAAACAGAGAATTTCTTTTCTTTGAATTTCCACCTTCTTCATCGTGTTCTATTTTAAGTAATATAATATTATACAAGAGCCAATTCAAAATTTGGCCAGAGTGAGATCAAGATGCATAAAAAACACCGAAAAAAACTTCTCTGTAAAAAGCAAAACATTCGTAAGAAAAGATAGTAAGTCGTGCGAGTTCTTTTTACAGACTTCTCAACCTTGTCATTTATTCACTGATTGCATTGGAGGTTTACAGAAAAACAAACTTACGCAGCGTCATATGCAAAGGTCGCAAATATTTTTACTCTCGTAGCAAGCATGGGCGTACTCCCAAGGTCCATTGATTCTTATCCATCTAGTGGTAAAAAATAATCTCTGTCTAATTCCTTTATTATCGTTTGCAGTTACTATTTTGAATCCTTATAGAATTCTATTATTATCGGTTTTACGTTGTTAAAAGTTATTAATATTTCAACATCCTTTACAAAAATATTCACTATTTTTTAAGACTCTATTGTTTGCAGGTTTTAACATTACGTCCTTGTTGACTTTTTCGAATAATTGCTTTTAATTTTAATCTCACTTAAGGTATCCGACTACCTTAAAAAAGAGGATTTTTACAAAAAATCACTTTTTTATTTTATTGCTTTATAATAATGCCCAATTTTTCTAGTTTTAAAAACTGTTTTGTTTTTGAATGCACGTCAAGCAGAACTTTAGTTATAGCTATTTTAGTAACAGATGACAGCTGTCCAACTTACCGGAAATTACAAAAATGAAGCCGGTAGTAGGTAATAGTTTCGGTTCCATTTCTATTTGTGTGTTTATTTTTCTTAGATATTTAATTTTTAAAAGCTCTTAAACTCACGGCTAATAATCTGANTAAATAAATATGTTATTATATTTTCGCATGTATTTTCCATTGATAAACTTATAATTAAAAAATTTTAAAAAAATAATAAATCTTAAAAATCATTTTTGAATCAAACAAAAAAAAAATTTTATATACAGAGGATAAAAAACAGTAAAACATTAAACATTGTTTTTATTTAAATTCAACTTATACAGTAAAAAAGAAATTTTTAGTTTAAAATAACTGTTGTAAAAAAAAAAAGAAAACAAAACGAACTTTATATTATTGGATAAATATTTCGTATACTTTCATGACAAGTAAAGCTTTCGAAGTAATAATAAGCATTCATTATATACATTATATTATAAGAAGGCAATAAGTAATAGTTTTCCTATTTCTTCAGCAAAAAAAAAAAAAGTTGAAAAAGCTCACCGCTTTTCCCTGCTATTACATTAAAAAAAAGAGAAAAAAAAAAAAAAAGAATTGGAATATAAACTTTTCGTCTAAAAGTCTTTAACTTTCATTTTAGTTTCTGTTTTCTGATAAATAGTTCCAGATGCGAGTCATGCTTAAAGCGCATGCGTCATTTACAGTGGGACATAACAAGAGAGATTTCCTAAAACTTCTCTAAGAATCAATACTTCTTCATAGACCACTTTTGCGCACATAACCCAGCCTTGTCAACCCCTGGACCACCCACACATTAACCTAATAGGGGGGTGCGCAAAAAAAATGATCTTTGGAAATGTTATTGCAACCCTATTCAAAGGTAAATTCTAGCACACACATTCAATGCAATTAACAAAAATTAAAAGCAACCCGAATAAAACTAAATTTTTAAATACGTCATAATAATTTTTCGCATAAGAAAACGCTTAAAAACCTGCGTATTAATAATATATTTACACGAACTTCAGTCACCTTAAAAAAAATTAATAATAAAAGTTTAAATTTAAGCGCTAATTATATGTTGCTTTCATTAAAAAAAACTTGGTAAAATTGAGTATTTAATTTTATACATACATTAAAATGAAAAGACAGGTTATAAACATAATTCTTAAAACTATTTCTCAAGACAAAAACAATGACCCAACAAAACAAGCATTTTAATTCTGTATTTAAGTGGTTTAACAAAAAATTAATTTTACATTTGCATTCAGTTTAATGCAATAGATATTTTTTTATGTTATTTGCTGAAGCTAAAACTTTCTTATATACATATATATATATTTAAAATTACAATTTCTTTAAAATAATGACTCATTAGGCGATGCTTTGTGTTGACATAGCTGCAAACAATTCATATAAATGAACTGCTGATCTTTAGCATTTAATTTGCTTATAAATCATGCAAATATAGGTTAATAGAAGAAAATAAATGGATGATTGAATTTTTCAAGCATTTAAAAAAATGTTTTTTAGCATAGAAACAGGAGAAAAAAATGTCTTACTTGTTTCGATGCAACAAAATAATTTTGTCTCTTGGAACTTTGAGTCTTTTTGCTAAAGCAAGTTTTAAATTGTTGACGGAACACTGTGAAGGCAAAGTCACTTCAATCCGTCCCCCTGTTGTTGGCTGAACATAAAAAGTTCTGTTATCGACTTCAGCCATTTGAAGGGAACACCTTTTGCACCCCCTTCTAAATCGAACGAAATCTTCTGGAGTACTGAAAGGGACGATTTTTGAAACCGGCGTTCCTCCACGTTTTTTCCTCGTTACGCGGTCACTCGTCACCCACACACACACCTCGTAGTAGCGTGATTACGTCATAAGCATCAGGTTTGCCTTCACCAAAACAATTACTAGGCGATCGCCAACTTCATGACTCGCCAAAAAACTCACCAACAATACCATCGCATATTTGATCTAGGGAACGCAATGTAAAATGAAAACGTTTGTTCGTACATCCTGAGAAAAGCAGAAAAAACTCGAAAGAAAAAATTCTTCTATAACTAGGTCAATAGAAAAAAGATATTTAAAAATAATAAGTAAAAAGATAGTTTATAATTAATTCATGGAATGAATGACATAATTTAAAACACATTTTGAACAAAAAAATGATATTGATTCTAAAATCATACAACCAATTTTTTTTATTTTTTTGAAATGTAAAGCCCAATTCAAAACGAGGCATTTTTTTAACCGTATTCATCTTATTGAATCAGAAAAATCGTAACTTGAAATGAATTATAAAGAGTCATAATAAATGTATTATATTTAACCGAATCGTATACTATAAATATTTATCCAAAATAGTTTCTAAATTAACTAGGAAGTGAATGTGAATTTATAGTTTTAACTATACCCATTTAGTTTAAAAAATAATTAACCAAAAAGCTAATTATCTGACAAATGCTCCACCCCTGTAGCGAAATGTGTGCTTCGTTGTTTCGCGCATGATTTATTTAATTTAATTCATTATTTATTTCATTTAATTGAAATTTGATTAAATTGATTTCGATCATTATTACGTATGCATGAAGATATAAAACTTATTATTCAAAGCGTTATTTAAAAATAAGGCAAGCAAGCAGAATTCTTTTCAGTACATATATGTTAAGTAAATAATTTTAACTTTAATAAAAAAAAAAAATTTAAAAAAACTGTTTTCTGCCAAGAAACGACAATTATTGCGAAGGATTGGTGAATGGTAGGGTGTTTAACTCATGTTGCTCAAGTGAGGGTAGATTTAATTTTTGCCACTTACTTGTTCGCACTTTCCGATTTTGGGCGCTTTGAGAAATTTTTCAGATTTGACGAAAATGTGTTTTCCATCACGGATTGGCTTTGTACAAATGTAAGGCAATAAAAGACAAAATGAACAAAAAATTGAGAAAATAATAAAAAATAAGTTTAAAAAAGTAGGAAAGCTAGAAAAAAAAAAAGAAATCTACTAAAAATGTAATTAATCCGCTTTCTATCACATTGAACAGAAGAATTAGAATGGTGTTCTAATTAGGAATTCTCGCAAAAAGAGATATTCCGCTCACTTCGCTTGTCTAACCTATGAAACACTTCTGGTAATCTTTTGCTCTAGACGCTAATTTATCGTGATTGAATAATATCGTGGTGAATTTGTCATTAAATGTTCAGTATAACATATGTTATACTTTTATGTAAACAAAATACATATGCTTATTAGTTCAATGACGTTTACAGATAATAAAACAAATTAGGAACATTTCTATCGTTGTGATAGTAGTTAGATTTTCTGTTGCGAGCAAATGAATTTTATTTGTAAGGATTTTTCTCCCGTCAAAACAAAACAAACTTTAACAGTTTCAAATTTCTTTAAGTTAAAACGATAGACAGATCTGAAAAATAATTTCGTTTGATGATGGAGGTGTTGAAAAACTAAAAGACAGCGTACCAACTACATGAGTATTTACGTTAAAAAAGTTAAAATCAGTTATTACATTCATATAATGCGTTTAGATGCCAATCAGTTTTATTTAACATTTTTTACACCTAGATGAAATAATTTTTGCAGTTAAAATTTTTTCTTTCCCTAATATTTAGATCCAGGATTTGAGACGCAACTGATCTAGGCCTTTACACGTGAGTGCACAAACATATAATTTCTGTACGTTATTGCATCTAGCCGTTGTGGCTGTCCCACAACTCATTTTAAAAATTTTACTTTTTATATAAATTTAGGACATTTCATTTATAGTATAACAATAAACAGTGAGAGAATTTAATAATTGACGTTAATAAAAATATAAAAAAATAATAATTATTATTAATATTTGGCAATAAAAAGTTTTAGTATTCGAGTTAAATAATGCAGAATACATTAAATTGAACTACCGTTTGAACAAATAAATAAATTATGTTATAGTTTATGTTTAAAATTATACAGTCAAACCCCGCTATAATAAACACGGCTTATAGTGAACTCCCGGATATAGTGAACGAAATGCTCGGTCCCGTGCCTTGCTATACACGTATGTTATTTTTAGTGCATATAGTGAACCAAAAAAGTGAGGAAGTTGGATATAATGAACTTTTTTCTGTCTTCGACTGATTCCCCCCCCCCTTCATTTTCTTTGTAATAATTTTGAAATTTCTACTTCAAAATAAATTCATTTACCGATTTTTAAAAGCATCTATAGAAACTACTTTTATGTGCTCGAATGGCAGGTTAGAAAAGCGGAATAACAGAAATTCAGGAAAAATTATTTGAGAGTCTGGAATTGTAACGTTTAAACTAAGAGCTTTAATAAAGCATTTTATTTTTCTTAAGAATTCTTCTGCTTTTTTATGAAAATTTGTAACGATGCTGTTTTTATGCAGCGTAATGTTGTAACAATAAAAAAAAACACGCACATGCGACAACTTAAAGCAGAAAAGATGGAAAATATTTCAAAATGTTCCAAGAAATATTAGCATTCTCTATCAAAAAACGCCGTTCTAATCAACGAATCAGGTCAGAAGATATTATGGAAAAATTAATCTCCAACAATGGATATCAGCAATAAAATTTCATATTTCCGATATAGTGGTTGAATTACACGAAGTCGGAAAGTGGGATTGATTAGAAACCCTCCCCATAAAAATTTGCAAATTGTAGGGGGGGAAAATCGAGTTGCTCTTGTTCTTGAGTTATTAGCGAACGAACATGTTAACTAACAGACAGACGCTTTTATATGACAGAAATGGGTGGTTGTCGACTTCATCCGGTGAATGTTGACGATCACATAGTCGCTTTGAAAAATGTCCGAAATATATACTAGGTGTACATTGCCCGGTATGCCCTGCATCAATGTATTTTTAAGGTTTAGTGCCACTGTCCAGTATGCATTTAGCCGGTTCTCCAAACACTGATGTTTCTCCTTATCTAGCCTCAACCGATATTAAAATATCGAATAAATGTAATTATATCAACGAATAAATCAATATCAAATAGGATCTAACAAATATTTCGGACATTCACCAGAGCGACTATGTGATTGTTGACATTCACCGGTGAAAGTCGACATTCTCTTGATTTCGGTCATTCATGGCAGGCCCGCAGCCAGGGGGGGGAACCGTCGGGACATTCTGGGATTCCCCCCGAAATTCTGGGATTCAAACTTTTTAGTCTTTCTTTGAGCTTCTCAGTAAAAAGAAAAACAAAAACTTTCGAATCAAACCTTTTATTAATTAACTTTATTAAGCATATTTCGGAATATTCCGGTTTGTCCTAAAAAAGTAATCGAAACATTTTCTTCAAATCCCCGTCGCATGTCTTTGTAAATTTCGCTTACAAATTGATTATAATTATTATGTAATATTAATTGTAAAATAATTATTATGTAATATTTTTTAATTACTAGTTTAACTTTTGCAAACAACAGAATAAACAATATTTGTTACAATGTTTTTACCCCTACTTTGCATGTCTGAGACTGTCCTTGCTTTTACCATATCCCCCCCCCCGAAAAAATATCCTGGTTACGGCCTTAATTCATGGTAACACAGAGAGGAAAATGGATGTCTGTAATGATATATTTGAAATAAACTTAGTGCAAATAATGATATGAACATGGCACAATTATCTAATGACCTCTTTATTTGTTTTTTTCCCCACTAATTTTATGTTATTATATCATAGATTCTCAACCTTTTTAACGTTGCCGCCCCCCTTAGGAGCAGAAAAAAAATTTCAACGCTCCCCTTTGTTAAAATCCAGTTATTTTGAGCTAGGGGGTGAAGGGGTGCTGAATTGTAAGAGGCATTACTCTTAAGCAATTTTTTTAGGCGTTAAATTTGTTTGGTTTAAAAAAAATTGATGTGCACGTTAACTTGATATTTTCCTCTCGGCAGGTAAGGGCAGTGTATTTGCTATAATCAAAATAAATACAGTATTGAACAAAATACAACAAAGAAACCTGTACTTAAAAAGAGTAATTTATTCTTAATTAGATAATGAAGAAAACATCTGTGACATTAGGTCACAGCCTAATTTTCTAAATATCCTGTTTTTTTTAATCAAAATACTAATTCTTTCGACTTAATTTATAATTTTGTAATACATTTATTTATTTCATCATCTTTCTTTAGCCCCTTAAGCGGTAGCGCAATTTGGACATTCTCCCCCTAAAATTCCTTACCAGCTCCTTAAAGAGCCCCTTACTAATTNTTTCTTTGAGCTTCTCAGTAAAAAGAAAAACAAAAACTTTCGAATCAAACCTTTTATTAATTAACTTTATTAAGCATATTTCGGAATATTCCGGTTTGTCCTAAAAAAGTAATCGAAACATTTTCTTCAAATCCCCGTCGCATGTCTTTGTAAATTTCGCTTACAAATTGATTATAATTATTATGTAATATTAATTGTAAAATAATTATTATGTAATATTCTTTAATTACTAGTTTAACTTTTGCAAACAACAGAATAAACAATATTTGTTACAATGTCTTACCCCTACTTAGTCTGAGACTGTCCTTGCTTTTTACCATATCCCCCCCCCCCGAAAAAATATCCTGGTTACGGCCTTGATTCATGGTAACATAGAGAGGAAGATGGATGTTTGTAATGATATATTTGAAATAAACTTAGTGCAAATAATGATATGAACATGGCACAATTATCTAATGACCTCTTTATTTGTTTTTTTTCCCCAGTAATTTTATGTTATTATATCATAGATTCTCAACCTTTTAACCCCCTAAGGAGCAGAAAAAAAATTTCAACGCTCCCCTTTGCTAAAATCCAGTTATTTTGAGCTAGGGGGTGAAGGGGTGCTGAATCGTAAGAGGCAACACTCTTAAGCAATTTTTTTAGGCGTTAAATTTGTTT